TATTTTTTTATGTTTTTTAAACTACACTATTTATTACAAAACATTTATTAAAAGTAATATTTTTATGTTTAATTATTAGTTTTTTTAAATATTACTCTGTTTAATAATTAATTTTTTAATATTAATAATGATTCGAGCCAGCTCACGATCTCACGAACCGAGTCTCATCAAGCTCGAACTTGAGCTCAAGCTCATGGCTCGATAAGCTCGCCCCGCGAGCAAGCTCGGCTCACTTACACCCCTAATTGCGGCCTCCTCCCGCTGATAAAATGAAGAGGACGCGAAGCCCGTCGTTCTTCGACACTCAGAACCGCAAGACTCGGTGCAAAGCTTGCAGTGAGGCGGGTAGGCCTTTTATATGCTCTTCATAGCATAGCGGGGACAACCATAAGTATTCGTGTATGTACCATCATGTCTATGGGGAAAATTAGTGTTTTCAAACAGGTACCTCATAAACCCATACCCGCTCTTCGTAATGCGATGGGATTAAAGAACCACGGCCGCAATATCGCCTGACACCTACCATACCTTCTCTTCATAGTGTGATGGGAAGGCCCAGCTTCCCATGTTTCATCTAAACAGGGAAGACAACGAAAGACTTCTGAATTTCTAGTGAACAAAGGACCTGAACTTGAGCAAAATGACAAGGAACAAAACTTCCAAGCTGAACATAGGGAACATAAATTTAAAATAGGGAACCGAACCTAATGTTCAACATAAATGCAAATCATAAAATGACAAAATTTAAAATATAATATTTGATTAATTGCATGCAAACAAAAATGCCTCTTGCATATATGCACAAGAAGGCTGCAATGCATGCGATGATATGTTCAATGCATCCAATGATATATTCAACTTACAAACAAATATATCAATTGAGCACTGAAAGTCAAAGCATAATGAATGTAGTAACTTGCCAATCAACGTGCGTAGAGAAATCAGTGGCGAATGCAACTCATCAGATAGTACGCATTAATTTGTAGATGAACACACATTCACCTACGAACAATAACACTCCTTACAAGATTAACTTGCAAGTAGACACATCAAACAATGAGAGTCAACATACAACAAATATGATGGGTTTCCTGCCAACATGAATAAGAAATGCACATTGTCTACAAATAGAGGCGGCGAACTTAAGCAATAGTAGATGACATATCATATGCATAACAGCCTGAATACAAATTGAAATAGCAAATTCACAATGAAAATAAGCTCCTACGAATCACAATAGGAAGCTCGTCATGTATGTAGCAGAGTGCTTATGGATAGTTGTGGGAGATATGAAATGTACACAATAGTCTACACATATACGATATCAAGCAATAGATAATGGATGTTATAGCATCCTTGCAGTTAACAATCATTCAATGTCAAGTAAATATATTAGTTTCCTGCAAGAAAAAGCGAATAATATGCAAAAAATGCAAGCACCTTTAAGCCATTACAAAAGATTCATCTTGTACACATCCGTTCACATATAACAGCTAACAATCATTGAATATCCACTGACAACCAACAAATAATTCAACAAAGCTTGCATGACACGACAGCTCACCCACAAGGAGCAATGAGCAACTTGTAGCGCAACACTACAACCCGCCAGCAAGCAATATTGGAAGATACACGCTGAACATGATCCAACAACTATTAGCTCTTTAATATTCAGTGTTGGACCACGAGCAATGTTAACAAAATAGTAGATAATGCAACAGCTTGCTTACAAGCAATTGTCACTACAGGAAATTCGCCATACGCATGATATTAATCCCTCCTACAAGCAGAATATATGTTGAATATAGTCCACTTGCATGCAACAACAAACTACTTTTGAACATCCACTAATAGCGCACTACCCACGCGAACAAATTTAACAAAATTCACAAACATTATAATTAACCTAAAAGAAAAGGCAGAGAATTCATAGTAAAAATTGCGGGCTACTGATAAATTGAGTAAGTAAACTTGCAACCAGGCTATCACACCAGATATCAGTTTACTTGCAAGAGATAAGTAGGAGGCTCCTGACGCACTGCACAACATGTTTGTAGGCAGAAGAATACTCCTACGAGCTGATTACTGAAAAAAATAGTTGCTTGCAAATGAAGAAATGAGATAAATGCCATTGGATCCGCAACACCCATACAAGTGGAAAGAAAACGTTCACCGGATCATCAAGAAAGCTCATGCATCTTTCAAATGATCACTACTTGCCAACAAGAGTTTAGTGATACACGACAGCATACCTACAATAAGCAACAAGAAGCTCATAGCACAGCACCGCGCAACCAGATTCATAACATGCACACAAGCGAATAGAGGGCATTTACAAATTCCCAAATGAAACTTAGCCCACGGTTAAATCATGCCACCGGATCCGCAATACTTAGACAAACAAACATAAGGCATCTACAAGCTTCTAAATAGAACATCACGCACATTAAAATGACAATCATTCGCACAGTTGATCACTATAAAACACTTTAAATGCCCTCCCACATGCATTGTAATAGGCAAAATGTTTCATTCAAGTATATCATTTAGCATTGCAAGATGCATTATGCTATAGCAACGCATCACACTAATATGCAAAAGCATTGCGCATAAATGCATTACAACATGCAAAACATATCATGCAAGCATATCATTTAGTATGGAAAATGTATTACACCATGATGATACATTAACATGCAATCAGATCATATATATACATGTTGCAAAATATAAAATACATCATGCAGGAATGGTTGAACAATGCGCAAATGCAAAATACCAACATACATACACATCATACAAATACACTATATGCTATGTTAATGTAATAGGCTACTACATTGCATATCAATGCATAATATAAAATGCATTCAAAAGTATGTTCTCGCAAGGGCTCCGACGAGCGTGATGTAGGCACACACATGACGTCTATTCGGGTCAAGAAATGAATTTAAGTTCGAGGCCGTTCCCTCTATGTGAATATCTAAGAGTCGACACGACTCGAACCGTGAAAACAATATAATATTGTAAAATTGACAAGGATATTTGTTTTATACATTCATATTAGGTTTTCAAGGTCTACTACAAGAAAAATTCACTTATAAACGCATAAAGCCGACGATAGACCCGATCCTCCTTCAATAAGTAGACAAAATTGACAAGGTTCAACCCATAAAATAAGATTACTCATAATCATTCTCGAAGATGGCCGTGTTGACAAAAAGTTTCAATCGGAGAGGACCTCAAATATTCAAAATACCTCCAAATTCCCATAAAACACATTCAATTGACTTTATTCATGAATGATATTAATGTTTAAAATAGAAAAATTAATCATCAAACACTTGAAAATCACTTCAGCTCACAAATAGCGATTGTCTAATCGAGAATATCACTAAGATTCATTCTCAAATTGTTTCTTGTCAGTAAAGATGTGGCACATGTTCTTTGACTGGTGGTTTTGTCGCCAAATGATACCACAGGTAAACGGTTATGACCGAGACCCTCTGACCGGGTGGTTTTACTGCTAAATGACACCAATAAATTACGATCATGGTCAGAACCCATATAGTCCCCAACAGCTTCAAGTCCTTCAATAATGAATTAATAAGATATGATCGATTGGACACAAAGCCTTCTATAAGCTAAGTTAGATTCAAATGCCCCCTTAGATAAATATTTACCCCAGGTCTAGAAGAAACTCTTGGACGAAGCAACACATGGCTGTCGGCAATGAACATTCGGGTCAGGTTGGATTGACTACCTCCTTTAACTAAGTAGACCAGGATCATGATGACCCGAGATGATAGAATCATGCGATTTTGAACGGGTCTATCATCACTTCCTCGACCATTCAATTTATTTCAAGGTGATAAATTTCCAATTTTAAATGTTAAATTTCAAATACCAAATCATGCATTACTATACTCCATATACTATGTATCTGTTTGGCGACTAGCCTTAATCGAAAGTTCTCTCTTGCTATCGAGAGGGGCAATTAACTATAAGAGCTTGCGCATATAGGAAACCTGAACTCAGATAATAAAGTTCTCGCAAAATGAGGGCGAATTTTTTTTGTAATGTCTTATTAAAAACCCAATCTTCCTTCTGAAAAGTTATCTCTCATAACTTAAACTCGTTAACAGTCTCCTCGGCGACCCAAAAAAAGAAAGGGGATTATGGAGAGGCCGGGGCATGAATTTTTGAAACCCGCAAAGGTCAAAAATAATGGATAAAAAATGTTTAAACTCCCTTAAGATGGTCGTGTTGAAAACAAATCTCAGATGAACGGACCATATATCCCAAAAAAGTAACTAAATCCCAATGCACATCATTTTGGAATTACACTCAGAAAAAATATATACAAATTGAATAAAATTATCAAAAAAATATAAAAAATTTTTAAGTGAAATTTATTAAATCCGATCCTATGCAAACAAGCTGACAGAGTTAACAAGGTCAAAGATAACCTTGAAATATTCAAATATCCTGATGATGTCTGTGCTAAGAGTGAACCTCAACTAGAGGGGACTTTTATCTTTTAAAATTCCCCAAAATCCTGTTGTAAATCATTTCAGGGTAATATAATAAAACTGTAAAAATTCAAAAAGAATTATAATATTTATGCAACGTGTTTTAATGGAAACTTTATTGATGCTTGTATCAGATATCTTCTGAGTTATGCGTCATGTTTTAAGTAATTATAATAAATGCATGCCTGATTTAAGCAGTTTTATAACTTTAATGAACAGCAAAATACTAAAGATGGACTAAAGTCTAATCAACGAAGTCAAATTAACTGATACTGATTTTGAATCCCAAGAAAAATATCAGAGATATGAATCGCTCATGCCATAGTGATCATGAAGTATTAATTCACTTGCGTACAAAGAAATTAATAACACAAAAGATAAGCATTAACTTAAATCCAAATGTATATTTAGAAAGATACTGTTAAGAAAAGCAGACTGATTCGTTACTTTGAGTAGAAGTGAACCTACCTGAATGAAATTTTATACTAGTCTGGATAGAAATCTTGGCAGTTTGAGATTCTGCCAGTTTTCTGACTAGAGTCTCATTTGAAAGGCTTAGCTTGTCCAAGGAAATCGGATACAATTTCCAACCGTGGAGAATATAGCCATCTAAAGCTACAGATGAAAGTATTCCCTGAAAAAAAGTTCCATAGGAATCACATTAATTACCAAAAAAAATTACAAGAAAATGATAAGAGGATGTCTTCTGAGGAACGTATAGACATTATAGTATTAGTCAAGGCAATTAAGTGTTATTGAGCATTTGAACTCAAATTTTATGGACTTCAGCTCCCTTGGATGCCTAACTTCTACAGCATAAGGACCAAAGAAAAAGGCAGCTGCTAGGCAACTGGAAGACAAACAAAGAATAAAACTTGCTTTTTCATGTTACTTCTGTATGAAAAAGTTAAAAAACAATTAACTGTAGATTCTGTTCTTGTTACACTTAGCTTAGATGAAAAACCTAAAAGGCAATCAACAGCAGATTCTACTCCAAACAAGCTTTACTGGGCTCTACGATAGCTAGGTTAAATTTGAATTTGAAACAGAACATGGAAATGATCATATAATTACTCTAAATACCAAATCAACCGTGCAACTATCCAGAGCCAGGAAAGGGCAACAAAAAATGAAAATAGCAAAATTAAAAAAAAAATTTGGTAAGAATCAACTCTGACATCTTTAATAAATCTTAGACATATAAACATTAAAGATATTCCTATCACTAACTGTTTCATGGAAAATAATATGTCCAATATGGCAATTGCTGTAGAACTCCAATATGCAAGTTCCTAAGTAATCAGTACTAGCTAAGCTAAAACCTGAAGATAATGTACACATAATTGGACAGAAAGAACTAGGTGCATAGATGCAGCACTGTAGTTTCCATATGAAACATGCTTCAACGAGCAAGTCTACAGCACTATTGTACATGTAATATGAAACTAGCAATCACCATGTCAAGTGATTTGGATCCCATGCTCCTTGTCCATGGCTTCACATGTCTACGAGCCTATTTGGGATTGCAGTTATCTAGGACTCCTATTCTGCCGAGAAGGCTAATCTGAGACTGTAACAATCTAGAGTTTATCCTTATCTAGAATTGTGGCAATCTGCAGCTTCTCCTTCCAGGAAAACCGAGCTGTAGTAACCCACCCGCTCTCCTTATCTTGGACTATAGCTCATCGGGACTACTCTTATTCACATGTTTTGGCTGCTGTTGGATTAATATAATTAATTTCACAAAACTCATTTATGTGCATATTGCAAGTGTCTATAAATAAGAGTGTTCATATGTAAAAATGACTATAGCTAGAATAAAAATTTAATTTTAGATACATAATGTTTCTTGATCCGTGCTAGATGCATTACAGGAGAGAAGATCTCTTTGCAAGAGAGAGACTTATTGCTTGGTTTATTTTTTTCCTTCAGTTTCTTCTTCTTTCCTTTAATTAGTGCTTGACGGATAGTGTGATTGTGATTTTTAGATTTACTATATATCTACTTCATTTATATGTATTTTCTTAAATACCATGATTTCTATGGTTTTCATTTGTTATGATTGATTTCATTAGGAAAAAAAAACTAGTGACTAAAAGTCAAATTAAGATCTGTTTATATTCATCATCTATAGTAATAAAAAGTACTTATGATAGATGGTTTGATTTCCTATGAGATTTGCACGTTTTGTCTTTGTATTAATTGTATTAAATTGTATGCAAAAAATATTAAAAATCTATTAAAAATTTTCACATAGTAGAAATCCTATATCCTAAGATGCCTTACATTAGATGTAGCATCAGAGCTTAAAATTGAATCACAATGACTTCCAGATATAAAGTCATAATAACTAGAATAGTCAACAAAACAATAAAATGATGTAATTTTAACAAAATTAGTTTAGTTTTGCCTCTAAACAATTCTAATATGATTATTATTAGATTTAAAATTAAATTTCTATATTCGATGGCAGCATAAGATAAGGGTTTTTCATATGGGATAGATAACTTGGATGACTTGCTGAAAGAAAACATGTCTAATTCCCGAAAAGATGAATATTTTAAAATAAAAATCATGATTGATCAATATATTCGATGGAGGCATTCCTTCATATTGTTTTTTCATCCCAATTTTTTTTTAAATTCGGAGGATGCTTGAAGGTACACCCACAACTACATAAACCTCCTAGAAATCGAGATAGTGGAGAGCATACAACTAATAAAAATCAACCTTTTAACATAATGATGGAAGCACTAACTACTTATGATCACGTAGTACACAACTTTGAACCAACATTAGATCCTTTATTTTGAATTCAATGCATTTCTTGAAAGTTAGTCCAAGGAAAATGATTAGCACTACATCTACTCACAAGTCTACTAATCCAGATACACCAGAGATTTCTCTTGTTGATCATCTTGTTGTTGGGGATATTGATGACCCCAACTCTCTGTCGATTGGCTTTGCTAGAATTTCTAGCACTGAAGAGCTAGCAGATAAGAAGTTTGAAATTCTCTGTCAGGCGAAAAAAAAATAACAAGAAAGCATAGTATAAACTCTCCAAAATATACTAGACTTCCAATTAGAAGTTTTTAGGGTGGACCCTTGAGGTTCTTTTCTTCTGCTTGATTGAAGCTTTAATTTTTTTTTTTTTTTTGCATTCATGGTATATTTTTTTTGTACCTTTTTCATCTAGCAATGCAATTACTTCATGTTGTACTTTTTCCATGACCGATAACAAAAATTTCTATTTAAAAAAAAAACAAGCAATTAAATATGAATGAATTTCAGGATTGTTGGTAAAACTAAAAAATTCATGCAAGAAAATACAAATTAAATAGGATGTTTACCTAGTATCTGAAACTATAATTACTTTTCTTTGTGACACATTATGGAAAATGCAGACCAATTACATGAAGGTTCAAATAGAATTGGATAAGAAAAAAAAATCTATTATTGAACCTACCTTCCTGTCATAAATGTATGGTCCATAATTTATGCGTCCCATGTTTTCCAACTGTATTACAGATATTCGAAGCATAAGGCAGATGAAAATTGAAAAAAATATGAAAAAATTACAGTCCTAACCACATAAGCTATTATCATGAGGTGAACATGACTATTTTCACATTGCTGCTTTCTACTAGCAGATAAAGGTTTCGTTTGGGACATCATTTTTATTGCTTTTCAAAGCAGTTTTTTGGTAAAAAAATTTTAATTTTTATACTAAAAATCTGCTTTAGAAAGTATTAAAAAAGTTGTTCCAAACAAAATCTAAGTATAGTAAAAACAAAAGAACTATAAATGAGACTTTACCCGTGTAACGTACAAATGTTCACAGATATTGGCTAAAAAGGGCAAAACAGATAACGTGTTCCAAAGTTATAGATATGCCGGGGAAAAATTATAAAGAAATTGATGAAATTGGAGGATGTTCTTTTTAACATACAACTCGCATGATTATGCAGGACCTAATTCTTTAATTATTGTTTGAAAGCCACTGCTTTACCACTAGGAAACTGATATTTTTTCATAATACTTCAAATTTTGGGCTAATACCAGATTACGGTTAGTCAAGCTATGCCTGAAAATTTGAAAATCCTAAAAGATATGTACCGTCTGAAATGCTTGAAAAGCAGATGAGCAAGTTGAATAGGAATTTTCAGAAGAATTTGAAGTGGAAAAAAAAAGAGATGAAATAAATAAAATTAAAAAAATGTACAAATGCTGCATCTTCGCATTAATACTGAATTAAACTACCTAACTGATTCATTTCACGATTTAAATTAAACTGAAGTGTTATGATTCAGTTTTAGAATGTCACCAATCTAAGGATAGCATGAGAAAATGGCGAAGAAATCCAAAAGAGAAGTAAATTTTTTACGTAAGTTGAAGACAGTAAAGGCCGTACTAGACAGATCTCTTCCTGGAGATTGTCGTTACTAAGTGTTAACATTTAAGATCCAGTTGTACCTATACTGAAAATAAACGTGACTGATAGATAAAGAACAATAGAACTGTGTAATTCAAAGAAAATTAAAAGGGATAAAACAAATTGCCTTAATCCAATATCTCATTAAGCAAATTCACCACCAGCATCAATCAAGGTAGGCATCTTCAATGATGGGAGGTAACGTTAACTATTACTACAAAAAAAGTATTAGGAATTTTGATACCAGAGAGATTCCTTTATAAGGTTGAAATAGCTAGGCAGTAATACATGATAAAATAACCAAGATAAGCCACAAATGCATGACCAAAATAGATATTAAGTTACATCAGATCATGCCTCGATGGGTGCCAAAATATTGCGCTTTCGACTCACCACAGTGTTTCGAAAAGAGTTTTAATAAATAAACACTCCGGGCCAAATTTTCAGAAGACATTAGATTTAAGATAAGACATCATTGTTGACCACCAATTACCTGCTAGACCACACCTCACGCATGATCTTCCCAAGAGACAAAACTATTCGGCCCAAACGACAAAACCGCTCGACTCCTCATGTCAACTGAAGGCACGCAAAAACCGCTCGCCCCTCTTCTCATTCAAACGGAGACAAAACCAAAGAAGGGGCAATATCTCCCTTCTCGCTCTCTTGGTTTAACGCACGTAGCAATCATTCACCCATCTTCGACTCCAATCCACATGCAAGACCTAACTGCCATTCCATCCCGCTATTCGATCTCGGTAGCACGCGAGACCTACCACACGCGATTTTTTAGATCAAATATTCAAGTTTCATCCTCCTTGAAAGGATTGGACTCATAATAAAGGAACGCCTAATCACAAATTTGACTGGATGTTTAGTATAAAGTCCACATTAGGTCTTCAAAGATTCTCTACATAAAACTCATCATAAACCATAAGCTCTCAGTTTTAACGTTCCCATAATCATCAATCATTGAACCCGATCCTCTGTTAGTGGGCAAACATAGTTGACATGGTTCAAATAATTAACTATTTAAATCCCTAATAATGTCGTGTTGAAAGTTAATCTCAGCTGGAGGAGATTCTACCTTTTAAATGCTTCCAAATTCTTACAAAATACAAATATTTTTAAATAACCATATTATCCCGATAAAGGCTGTGCCAACAGAAAATCTCAGCTGGAGGAGGTTTTAAAATTTAATATAAATCAAATTCTATATATTTAAATGGAAATACAAAATCTATCCATGCTTCATAACAGTTTGACAAGGATGATGAATTGGAGAATAACCTCGTCTCACAAAGAGCAATATTGTGGAATGTATTACTACAATTCATTCTCAGTTGATTCATCGCCAAAATTGCTACTATTATATGCTAGGCCCTTATTGCAACCTGTTTAATGACTAGCTTTAATTGAAAGTTCTCCTCACACCAAGAGTGATAACTAACTATAAGGGCTTGCGCCAATAGGAAATTAGAACTCAGATCATAAAGTCCTCGCAAAATGAGGGCGAAATCTTTGGGTAGGGTCTTATCTAAAACCCAATTTGCCTTATGAAAATTTCACAGAATATAAACTTGTTAATACTCTCCTTATAAACAAAAGAGGCACGGAGAGGCCAGTGAGCAAATTTTTTAAGCCCACAACCACTTAAGATTTCGCCTTTATTTTGCGGAGATTTTATGATCTATTCTAGGTTTTATAAAGGCGCGAACATCTATGGTTAATTATCCTCCCAGTGATGGGAGCACTCTTTTGATTAAGATTAGTCGTTAGATATAGGCACTACGTGTCTGATATATTAGTAGCAATTTTTTTTATATTTCAGCATTAAAAAATGTTTATTTTGCATTTAAAGAGAATGATGAAGGAATAATGACGAGCTCAATCAAGATCTCATGTTTTTGTCATCACTGATTGTCATGATCCTAGTTTACTAAGTAATAGGAGATAGTCAACCCAACCTAACCAAAAAATCCTTAATGACTGTAATAAATTGCTTTGCAAAAGGGTACATCTAGAAGAATTGAGATGAATATTTTCCTAAGAGAATAAATTCAAGCCAACCATAACTAAGAGAAGGCTTTGCCCTATCAAGTATACTCTATGATTCATTACTCAAATGTTTTGAGCTATATTATTGTTAACCTCTATACAAAGAAACAAAAATAGAAAAAAATCTGTACGTACCTCGGACTGAAATCCCGCGAATCCTGCACGAAATACCGCCGAGACAGCGCCGAATCGGTCACCTCCCGCAAATCCCTCGCAGAACATCGAACGATGCCCTTCGACGCCTTTAAAACAACGACCAAACGAAGCCTTCGGGATTGATTTAGCAAGCTCTCCCCCCTCGATCGCAAGCCTCTCCCGATCGAGCTCTCGACACGACACCCTCTCCCACGACGCTCTCTGCTTCCTTGGCTCCTGAGCTCTCTCAATCCCGCCCTCACTCTCTACCCGTCGCTACTCCGACATCTTCGTGGTCGATCTACTTCGCTCCTCCGTCAACTTTCCCTTCCAGTAGGACCGGAAGTTACGGCATTTTGATCGGGAGCAGTAGCGTGAGCTCGCACGCTGTGAAGATACCTCCACCTTCCCTGTTCGACCCCGGTGAGCCGCGGCCCTGTGCAGCCTTCTCCTCCGACCCCGTCGTGGCCGGTCGACTACGCTCCATCGACGACTTTACCTTCCTGTTGGATCGGAAACACGAACAGGAGCTCGCGACTGTGACGCTAGCTTTCTCCCTTCCGACCTATGGTGTCACTTGGTGGATACGTGCCACATCCTTACTAGCAAAAATTTGTTGGATAATTAATCTTAGCAATACACATAATAAGATATTCACTTTTTGTTAGCTAATGTTATTCTCAAATTATCACCCTCGACAAATTATTGTGGCGTTGAATGGATTTTATTTTAAGTTTTTTGTGATTAATATCACTTTAAATATTTAAATTGTCACGACCTGGCCCGGCTAGCCCAAATTAACGAGGCGGGAATAGACAATTGTATGGAGAACACATATAACATTCAAATCATAGAAGTTTCATTTCATAAAAGACATAAACATAAACATCATCAAGCTATTGCAAAGGGCAAACATATTTTGTTTAAACTTTCAAATAATTTTATTTCATTTTACATATTCAAATTTTGATAGATATTAAACTTTTAATGTTTATAAAAATTAGTCTTGAATAATTGACTTTGAAATTTGGGGCCATTTTTTAAAATTAAGTTATCCCTTTTTATTGATATTTTTGTCAACATGACTAACATGACCATCATGGGATTTTTAAATAACTTGGTTTTGTTATTTAAACCCTGTCAACTCTATCTACTCGTCAATAAGAGATTTCAACTCTATCTACTCGTCAAAGCACATGTGAGTATTCATTTTTAAAAGAGATTTAAATTTTTAAAACTGGTTATAATATTTTGTTATATTTGCACAGCATATTTTCATGTTCGAAGGTGTATTTATGCAATGCACGTATATGTTTTATAATGCACTTGTGCAACACACTTGCACAAATCACAATAAATTTACATAATGAATTTGCATACTTGAACACTTGTACACTTCTTCAAGCCCTTGTACGGTACATTTGTGCCTTAGGTGCACTTGCCCTATATGTATATGAGACGTGAAGACAAGATTCTCTTTCGATGATTTGATATGTCCAGTGCACTTTATTGATATAATCATGCAACTCATGATGCACAACAATGTCCACATTGTTTCATTTCAAAGGCATTCTTTAACAAAGGTGTATAATATGTTTGGAGAATGTGCAGGAGCTCTCTTTCTTTAGTAGCTAGCGAGCACATTACATAGGATACTCATACACCAATTTGCAATATGTTTGCTCATTTTATTTTATTTAGGGACATTCATGTGAAATGACTAATGGAAATTTATAAGAATCTGTTGTGATAGTCATTCACAAGAATGTGCTATCGTGAAGTCATACCCTTAATTTTACATTTTAGATTAATTATCACTTGTATTTAGGCGCATTACTGCATATAATTTTGTTCACTTGCATGCGTATCGAGAATACTGATGGAATGCCATGAAATGACATCTTAGCATATTATTCACACATGTACATTCCCCATTATTCTGATTGGATTTTAGTTCGATGGGCCCCTTAAATGACAACTTTTGGGGTTATAAATAGGGAACCCCCTTGGATTCACTTTCATCCAAAGGTCAACTGAAATTTTTAAAGGTTTTGAGTATTCAGGAATGTTCTAGGAGCTAAGGAGGGAGAAAATGGACTTTTTTTTCTCTGTTTAGAAAGAGAATGTCTCTCTTTGATTTTAGAGAAACAAAGAGAGAGGAGAGAGATGTAGGGAGAGGTGGAATAAAGAGTGTGAGGTGGAGAGGGAGAGTTAGGTAGAGAGAGAAAGGGATTGAGGGAGAGTATGAGGTTATGAGGTATAGGAGATTGAGGTGGAGAGGGAGCTCTCTTTTTTCTATTACACATAGAGGAGAGAGAGATGAAAATGGAGGAAGAAGATGAAAAGGAAGAAAAGAAAGAAGAAGTGGAATGAAAAGAGAAGGGAGAAGTGGAATGAAAAGAGAAAAAGAGTGAACAGGAGAGAGGTGGCTGGCTAGGGCGCATAGACGGCGGCAGGGCAAAGCAACAGTGGTGACGTGTGCAAATGATGAAAGTACGACGAGTCCAGTGGTAGCGGGAGATGGCTGTCAGGAGTCATCGACCTTGGTGTGTCCCAAGAGAGAAAGAGGAGACTAGCGTGAGTTTGAGAGGGGGTCGGATGAGTGTGGGCGACTGGGAGTGTAAGGAATGAGGGTACACATGAGGGTTTAGGTAGATTTAGGTTTATCTTTGCTTCCTTATATTTTCATTTTAGTTTTTTTTTTTAAGCTATCCATAGGTAGCCAAGTAAGGACAGCAATCATTTTTTGTATTTTTTTTATTATTATTTAAGAAAAAGACCAAAATGGTCCCTCTACTTTTTATGAGGGATCAAGATAGTCCCCCCCCCTACACACACAATTATTCTGAGGGATTCCTCAACTCCTCCAAATGGGATTATTTTGATGATGCCATCAATTTTAAACATAAAAGTGAGATGGACAGGAGGGTATTATCGGAACAATCAAGAAGAAGCGCGCGAACAAAAGAAAGGCTACCTTTGCAACGAGCAAACTCATGCCATCGTCGTTACTTCCGATCGTAATATATTTGGCCGAAGAAGAGTGCGAACGGAAGAAAGATGTCTAGCTTCGTAACAAGCAAGCTATCGTCATTGTTACTTCTGATCGAAGTCAATTTGGCCGAAGAAGCACGAGAACAGAAGAAAGAAGTCTACCTTCACAACGAGCAAGCTCTTGTCACCATCGTTATGTCCGATTGCAATCAATTTGGCTGAAGAAGTGCGTGAACGGAAGAAAGATGGCCACCTTTGAATGAGCAAGCTCATGTCGTCATCATTAGTTCCGATGAAACAGACGAATGGGGAAGTGTGATTTTGGATTCGACTAGAAGGAACATCATCAAAGAAGGTGAAGAAGTTATTTAGCTAGTCGTTCAAAACTCTACCCATCATGCGAAAGATTTGAAGTTGAAGAGCAATGAACATTAGAGAAGAGTAAAGGAAGTAAAAATAAAATTATGAATATTTTTTTTATTAAAGAAAAGTTTAATAATTTTTTTTTTACAAAATTGTAATATCTAAAAAAATTAGAATTATTAAATATTTTAATTAAAAAATACTAAATTACCCTCATACTACTATCAACTAAAAAATCCATTTTTGTAGGAGTTGAGGGATCAAATTGGTCCCTCAAAATAATTGTTGGTCCATCAATATAGTTGAGAACCATCTTGGTACCTCATAAAGAGTTTAGGGACCATTTTGGTTCATTTCTCATTATTATTTATAATAAATTTTATTTGAATTTTTTAAATTTTAAATATAATTTTAATGTTAAATTTTTAAATTAATAATAAATTTATTTATATTAATCATGCATCAACTCACTCACAATCCACATTATTCGCATGTCGATTCAACCTCATTCTGCATGTGCAAATTTTTTATTTTGTCAATAAAAAAACTCGGCCAATGTGAGTACGATTTTAGCTGTTTTAGCTACCTCGAACACGCCAACGCGGTGATTTTCACTTTTGTTTGATGCATTTTGGACAACTTCCGTGCGACATCGCATTCTTCAATCATCATTTCAATCATGCACGGTTGACTCAACCTTGAAGTTATTATCGAGGTCAACACATATCAACTTTCCTTAAACAACTTGATTCAAATAAGGGAAGAAGATAGTACTCTTTTAATGGGTCAATTTTCATGGGACAAAGCTCCCCAACAAACACCTAAGAACTTTCTAAGAGTTAGAAGTCCTTCCAAGATGAAATTGGAAGCCACTATTACATAAGGAGGAAATCTAATTAAGATGGATCTGCCCAGTCAAGGGCTACATAGGCTATCATCTAGATAAATATAAATGGTGGATGTATCAGTAGGCGGAAATCAAAGCTTGATACAAGAGAGGAAGAGAAATGATAGTCCAAGAAATCCAATTAAAGCTCACGTTAGATCATCAAGTTAAAAACATAAATATGCATTGAAAGGGATTTTGTGGCAAAGAAATAGACTAAGCGCCACAGATACTCAGTAGTGTTCATTGTAATGTGCATTTTATACAACAAACTTGTAGTAGACGGCTAAGAGAGAAAAGCATGGTAAGGGCATAGGATGACTATGGAAAGGCCTACATAGTCATGATAGATATAATGATGCAAAAGATTGAGCCTACATAGTCATAGGTAGTGATAATGATGCAAAAAATAGAGATAACCATGTTGATCCTATAAATCCCGAGGTTGAACATCCAACACATGGTCCATGCTAAGCCCAATATGGAATGCAAGACTCATCCAATATCTATGTCATTGCTTGACTACACGCCATGCAGACTAGTGAACATTAAATATGATGTCCTGCTCAAGCTGTAAGATATTGAAAAACCAATGGAGACAAACCGCAATGTTTCTGGATAAGTGAAATCTCTTCAGAGAAAAAAGAGGTTGCATTAATGCTAATCTTTTCAAATTAATGAGAGACGAGACCAAATTAATTTATGAATTGGCTACGGGACTATAAGATTGGGGAAACTGGGCGTAAGAAGGTTTATGATAAGGGAAAATAAAGCTCAATTTTAACCATGCATTAAAAGAAAAAAATCGGGTAGTTAAACAATGCCCTATTGCCAACTTCATGTACGTCATTTGTTGATAATTTAATTATTGAAAAAATTGTTTTAAGGGATCCAAACCAAGGTTAACGAGTGTATTATAATTCCTTCCTAGTTTGATTCATGCCTGGTCATTATGGTAAAGACAAGATAACAGGTCATGAGAGAGCTAAAAATAGTAAGAGCATTTTTTTATTTATTACTCTTTGTACTATATAAGGAATGAAATTCAACTATATTTCCTTTTAACATCAAGAATATCAGGGTAGTAATAAAAAGGTTGTTCATCATATGCCAAAACCATCAAAGAATAACTCCATCCAATATGAGATCCATAAAATTTACCAAAATAAATAGGCTAATATTTGATGAGCATTTGAAATTGGGAAGCTCAAGTTCCTTATTTGACCATCTCTCAATAGTACCAACATATGTTGGATTTTCCCCCTTACCATCTGCTGTGCATGAAATAAACACTTGGGCTCTATCATGAACCTACAAGAAGGAATTATTCATGATTATCATCGCTCAAAATATAGAAAATAATAACGCATTTAAAAAAAAAAAAAGAGTAACATATGATTTAGGGTTCCAACCTTTGGAATAGAAAGAGTGCTATTGCTTCCTTTTCCACTGTATTGGGATACATACAACATAAAACCAAACATCTGAATGGCAAGCAATAAATACTCAGTCTCTAGTAATAAGACGCAATTCACTTGCCTTTGTACTATATACAGATGCACTTTACCTGGCCAACTAGTTCCATTGGAATGGGCTGGTCAGTTTCAACCACCTCCGTAGGATAACATAAAATATCAAGAACATTGAAAAGAGATGCAACCTTATTCACGTTCAATATCCTATATTTTGCTCTTTCATTAGAAGAAGGTACAGGAGGAAGAGACATTGGGCTGTACTTTTCAATCACATTTCTGAGTGCTGGATGTGAAAATGTTCAAATCAGTAGTTTTTTAAGAAAACCCAAACTAATAAATAAAGCAAGTCTATTGAAATAAAAAGGTAGCACTCACTTGATTCATTGCAAGCATGCAATAATAATAATAATAAGGCCAAAAGTTATTTGCCCTTTGTACAAACCAAGCATCGTTTTACAATTAAAATTCAGCCTGACTAAGAATGATCATTAATCCTTCAATGATGACAAAGTTTTCCTTTGTTCTAATCGTTAAAGTTCTTCAAAGTGAATTTTATTTAAGAAAACTGGGTTCTCCAAACATTGTATTATTAGAATAGGCAATTTATATTTTGATTACACGTTTCTAGAGGGGACATTTTGTGGGGAGCAGCAATTGGGGGCAATATGATTTACAGAAGGGCATATAGTGCTTGGGTGTTAGCATTCTGTTGACAAGTTTTTTTTTGTGTCGATACGACTCCGATTGAGCCAAATCGGGCCCGATCAGGTTGGATTGAACCAGATCAACTCATTTGAGCACGTTGAACCCAATTAGGCACAAATCGGCGTCGATTTGACTCTAATTTTCTCAAATTAACTTGTTTGAACCAAATTGAAATAAAATTGAATCAAATCGATTCAAGCTCAAAATCAGCCCAATTGATTCAAATCAAGCTCAATTTGACTTTCCAAATCAAATTCTGCTTTCAACGTGTTAACCTCTAATAAAAAAAAAGGAGCAGAAATCTAGCATACATACCTAAATCCCGCGAATCCTACCGAAATTCCACCAAGGTACTATGGACCAGTGCCATTCAAGTCTCTAGGAGGTTTATTCAATACCTCCTACCTTGATTCTACTCAAACGCCGCTCGAGGAGGTTTATTCACGTCATTAAATACCCGACCAAATGAAGCCTTTGGTTGCACCTTCCTTCTCCACCAGAAAACCCCAAGCCTAACCTCCCCATGACCGAACTCTGTCCCTATCCATGCAAGCAACCAGAGAGGGAGGGAGAGAGAGAGAGAGAGAGAGAGAGAGAGAGAGAGAGAGGGAGAGGGAGAGGGAGAACTCTACCTACCTGAGCCCTTCTCTGCCTCCTTCGTGCCCTTCGACTTCTCTCCTTCCACGACTTCCCTTCCGGTCGGATTGGAAGTTATGACATTTTCGGTCCGAAGCAACAATAGGAGCACTGCTTGCTGCAAAGGTAACTCCTCCCATTCACACACTTATTCGGCCAAATCCCTTGTAAATCCTGCTATTGAATAAGCCCTTAGGGCAAGATAAGACAGGGAAATGGAGGATTCATCTCGCCATGAAATTTACGGGCAATCAAACCCGATTTAGCAAGATTTAGCATAAATCCTACTCAAATCCAGGCATAAATCCTGTATTCATCTTTTCTTTATTTTTTTATTTATTATTAGTAATTAAAATTAATTTCTTTTAATTATAGTTAATTTATTTTTAATAATGATTAATTATGATTAATTAAAATTAATTATAATTAGATATTTTAATTATATTAAATTATTTTTAATAATAATTAGTTAAAATTAATTAAATTAATTTTAATTAATTATTTTAATTAAGGTTAATTATTTTGATTAATAGTTAGCTATAATTAATTAAAATTAATTATTTTAATTTTAATTGGTTGTTATTAATTAAAATTAAGTATAATTAATTATTGTAATTATAATTAATTATTTATAAATGTAATTAGTTATAATTAATTAAAATTAATTATAACTAAAAAAAGAAGCACGCACATGTCCCTTCCCTTGCCTCGGTCTTCGAGCCAACACCACCGATGCCCCTTCTCCAAGGTATAAAGTTCCGAACTTGGGAGAACCAGCCCTCGACACTTGCAACGGAAAATGGTTTGCCTACTATCAACAACAGTTAACGGGCAGATATCTTTCATATACATACGACAATTCTTATGAACGTTAAAAAGACATGCAAACAAAGAACCCAATGTCGGTTGCTACGAATTACTTCTAAGGATAATAAGATACTTACAAATTTTTCTTGCTTACAAATAATGATGATTTGTAAACAATATGATCAGACTTCTTGCTATGATGCCTTTAATGGATAGCAAAAAAAGGAGACATTCAACAAGTGTTCACTCATCAGGCATATAGTTATTTACCCACGAGTAATGATGAATAATTTGTAGTAGACTTTGAAGCATTCTTGTAGTGAGTAATTATCTGCAAGTCATAGCAATCAATATGCTACATGAGACATTCACAAGTAGAATATGAAGTAGAATATGAAAAGCATATAATGAATCTCTTGACATCTATAGCATTGACATCAACTCAACATAAGTCACATACATCAGTCCTTTGCAGGCAAAAGCAGATGATGTATGGTAAATGCAAATGCATACGGACATTTGCATGAAACTTGCTATATGCACAAAACGTTATCTACAAATGAAATGTCAAATGACTACAGCGAATGTAAGTTTTTGCGAGCTACTGAAAAAGATCCCTTGTGCACTCGATATGTCATTTACAGGGTAAATACGAAAGAGAAATGTGGTAGATACGAGCTCCCACAAACTGCTATAAAAGACCCGTTATACATCCAATATTTTCTCCATAAGCATAATGTTAAGAGATTACAACAAATACAATACCCCCACAATCAAAACCATTCAATGGCAAGCAAATATTTCAGCCTATTGCAAGTGAAGATGTATGATGTGCAGCAAATACAAATACCTATAAACTGTTGTAGGGAAGTTGTCATATCCACAAAGTGCTATCCTCGAGCAGATATAGAAGAGCTTCAACAAGTGCAAGTTACTATGACCAAAAGCAGGAGATTAGTTAGTGCACTATAATCCATCTACAGAAAGAGACAAATAGTGCACAACAGTCTACCTGTACAAAGTAGCAAATAATTTGGTGGGGGCAAAAAATATAGGAAGCCTAGCCCACACAAGAGAGAGACACCCCCGACCCGCTAAAACACCAAAGAAGAAGCGACTAGGATGAGACGACGGGCAAACTCTTACATTTCAAATAAAACTAAGAAGAATAAATTAAAAAATACAAACGACGATGGATTACAACTTTTGACTCGAAATCAAAGACACCCTAAAGTTGCTTCACTTAGAGACGAAAGATACAGATGGAGTGGCACTTGCGGAGAGACGATTGTTAGAAGCCGAGACGAAAGGTTGGAAAGAGCTCGCAAGATTTCCAGAGGGGATGAGAAAGAAGACGAACAAAGCTCGCAAGCTTCTCCAAAAAAACCCGCAGGTTTCACATTCCAAAAATCATATCATTCAACTTTTAAAACATTACAAATCCCCCCATATATATAGGTATGAAAGGGGAATATAAAAAGACACATAACATTAATTTTCACAAGAACCTAAGCATCACAAGCATGGAATTCCTCCCCCCATGCTTCACAGAAAACCGCCCAAGCCCAGGAACCGAAGGAGCAGCCGCGGGAGACAAGGAGGCCTCACGGAACCAAGAGCCACAGCCACGGGAAACATTCTAGGCTCAGAAAACCAGCAGCCGACCGGAAATCTAAGGGGCAAAGGCACAAAAAACTAAGGAACCATGGTGGAATCCAAGGAGCCACACATGGGAAAACAAAACATCATTTTGGAATTCCAAAAGCCAGTTTGGAATTCCAAGAGACCAACATAATTAAAACATAAAAATAATAAAAACTATAACATTTAATAAAAGATAAATATGAACAAAAATGTTAGCTAATAATGAGCTAACCCTTAGTTCAATAAGTGAACTAAAGACTAGCTCATAAATGAGAATTTCAGCTCAAATTGATTAAGCTTGTAAGCTTGAGGGAGGCCAAAATTGATTTAATTTGGGTCTGAGTTGACCCTCCCTTTGCCTACATAATAATTCAAGCTAGAAGTTGCTACAACACGCCACCGAATCCGCAAAGTCTATGCAAGTGAACAAAAGGCATTTAAAAATATTTCAAACTACCCCAGCACATGCACCGTAATATGTATGCACATAGGCACGCTAAATGGGGTAAATACACTCACAACCCGCATAGGCCCTAGCGAGCGTGTTGCAGGAACACAGGTGACGTCCAGGGATGCTATGCAGATCAATAAATTTGAACCCTATCTTCCTAAGTAGGTAGATAGGAGCCGACAAGGTTCAGTAAATAATTATAAAATTCCCTCAAACATCCGCATGAGCCCCGGCGAGTGTGTTCTAAGTACACACGTGACATCTAGGGATGCTTCGCGGGTTAATAAGTGAATTCAAGTTCGAATCTAATCCTTCTATGCATATCAATGAGAGTCGACAGGGTCTGAACCATCAAACAAACATACCATTGTGGCGACTGATATATTTGTCTTAATACATTCATATTAGGCCTTCAAGGCCTATAAAAATAAGAATTCATTAACAAAAGCATAAAACCTACGAAACCTGATCCTCTGTCGACAGCTCAACATAGTCGACAAGATTTATTCATAAAATATAAATATTTTCAAATGAAAATAGCACCGCACCCCGATGATGGCCGTGTTGAATGCAGATCTCAACCAGAGGGGTTAATTTCAAATAATTCAAGAATGTCATCTCAAATGCTCGAAAATCCAAACTCCAAGAAAATTCTCAATTCTAAATATTTAAAATTCGAAAATCAACCATCCAACAATTTAAAACAAAATTCACTCATCCTCCGCAACAGTTTACCAGGGTGGACAAATTAAAATTTAATTCATCTCACATAGAGCTAATGTCTAGCTGAAAATATCATTAGAATCCATTCTCAAACAATCTCTTGCCAGTAAAGATATGGTACGTATCCTTTAACCGGCGATTTTGCAGCTAAATAACATCATAGGATAAACGATTATGATCTGGGGTCCTCTGAACTGAGTGGTTTTATCACCAAATGGCACCACAAAATACCTCTTATGGCCAGAACCAATCGCTCCTTAGTGGCATCAAATTCTTGAGATATGAATAAATAGGATATGATCGATAGGGCACAAAGC